GCCTCCACACACTCGCGCCGCTGGGCCGCTTTACCCTCCTCGCACGTGAAGAAGTCCTGCACATACAGACACATCATGTAGCATTTCCTTTTGCAAGAAGTCCGACGAATGCGTATTATTTAGCAATGCGGTGCGATGAAAGACTCACCCAAAACTCCCTCTTTATCTTTGCATGCGATGGTCTCGCCACCCTCCTCGACGAGGTAGAAGTGGGACCACTTGGTGGGCACCTTCATCTCGCCGTTGATGTTGACAAGGCCAGGTAGTACTCATTAATCGAGGCCCCGGATGCCATTGATATGGCGTGCTTGACCTGCTCCACTCACAATCTTCCGAGAACCGCACGAGTCATTAAGAACAATTGTTAGTCTTCGCCGATTTTTGACATGTCATATGAACAAGTAGTGAAATCAATAATGGTTACTTACGTCCCGCCCACGGTGTGATCACCGGGCGCTGTGGAATTGCGGCCGCACCTAGGAAGCTGCGTGGGCCCGCGCGAGTACACCTTAGCCACGCTGACGAAGTCGGGCCGCCCCTTTGGTGTAGGCGCGCGTCGTCGCCGTCGTCGTCGTCATCATCGTGTCGTCGTCGTCGCCGCCCAGCGCTTCCGTCGTCACGCTGACGTCGTCCCCCCTGCAGAGGACGAGAACAAAGACCTCTGATCGCGCTGGACGCGTCCGGCCGGGGGCTGGGACCCCCTCTTGGGACGACCAGCGCTGCCACCTCCTCCTCCTCCTCCTCGTCATCGTCGGAGGTCTCCTGGGGGGACTGCACGCCGAAGCGTCTTTGCTCGATCGACATGCTGCCGCCGCCCGTCTACCGGCATTTTGCCGAGTGCCTCGCAATGACAAAGAACAAAATCTGTTAGCATAAATAAATGACAAGTACTTGTAAAGGAACATAATAATAACAATATAGTATTACATGGCCTCGTAATTATCTCCGCGAACGGCAATATCTCGGGCGTGGAGTCGTCATCTCTATCACTATCGCCGCCATCGCTATCAATATTGTCGACCTCCCTTAAGTCATCACCGCCATCATCATCCTCATCGTCTCCATAGTCATCATCATGTACCTCCTCCCGACAACTCCATCACACAGATCCGCCATCGCTCAAGCATTCTTAAGTCCCTGGCATCCTGCACCTCCTCACCCTCGTCCTCATCGATTTCGTTGTCTACTTCCATGCCCATGAGCTCGGTAGGAAAGGAAGGTGCCGTACGACCTTCTCGGGGACCTTAGACTGTTTCATGCTGCCATCAGAGCCTTCTACCAACACGAACCTAGAGGCATCGCACTTGGACAGTGTTTTTGCTTCCTCGAGGTCTCCCCTGAGCAGACGCACCCCTTCGGACAAGCATGGATCCCCTCATACGGCATCTTAAGTGCACGAAGGAGCTTACGTGTAAGCGTAGGTGTTCGTCGGCGAGGACATGATCTGCGCCAAGCAGTCCCCAACAATGCTCAACACGAGATCGGCCGCCTCGACTAATGCCCAGCTACGACTTCAACCCTATCAGGCGTGAGACGGCATCCAGTTGCGTAAGCTTTGTCTTCTCGTGAAGGGGCTTCTGTGCCGACTCCATCATGTCGTAGAAGGCCTTCGCGGTTTCCTCCGGATCTTCCTCCACATCCATTCCTTCGCCAAACCGTGCTTCGTGGAAGTCTGCCATCATGTCTGCCATCCCGGCATCGCCATCATACTCCTCGAGGACGGGTCGCACCACCTCGTCCCTAATAGGATGGTATTCACCATGGTGGCGCCAACGGGTATAGTTTGGAATGAACCCGTGCTTGAACAGATCTCTCAACACCTGAGCCTTTACTTTCTTCTTCTTGTTCCTGCACTCGCTGCAGGGACACGGCATCCGAATCGACCCTTTAGCAGCTGGGCCAAATGCATGCTCCAGGAACTCAGTCGTCCCCCTGATCCATTCGTGGCTCTTACTTGCGAAGCCCGAGTACATCCACTCACGGTCACCCATGCTCTGTCATGCGGCAATGTTAACATGTGATAAAACCAGCAAGTGCATCTACAACGCGCTCCTACCATCTAATAGGTGAAGGATAGGTCCTAATCCCACCCGAGCATGCACAGATGAGGTTAGCTTCCATGCTCCGCTCCCGTCCGAGACGGAATTTCGGCAGCACCTCCCCGCTGTTCTCCCGATACACGTCCCGGCGGGGAGAGTGTGTATCCAGAGAACAACGGGGAGGTCCTGCAGAAACTCGGACTCGGACGGGAGCGGAACATGGGAGCTAACCTCGTCTGCGCATCCTCGGGCTGTCCAAATAACGTGGACAATCCGAAACGGATACGGTTATACATATGCGAAGAACGCATACTTCCAACCGTATCCGTTTCGGACGGGAGACGCCTAACTGGGTAACGCGACCTATGACTACATGTGGCGGAAAGAGGGGTCATACCGCAGTGTGCCGGTGAAGAAAAAGCTAGCGGGGCGAGGCTTAGTCGTGCTCCTCCTCGGCTAGCCTCCAATGGGAGCCCTCCGAAAAAAGAAAAACAATTAGTGAGAACGAAAAATTTTGGCAAAGACCTCCCTCATGCGGAAGGTTACCAAACCTGCAAAGAAAAGACGGCACGATGGCCGACAAACACATATACATGTCGTGCACGATGGCCGACAACCACAAATGTATTTCCAATCCATGCGAGAAGAATATAAGCGGTATTAATAAAGTAAACTACTACTACTAGTAGTACTACTACCTCGTCGTCACGGACGTCACCGTCACAGTGGAGTGTGAGGCGGCGCCAGCGAGGACGGCGAGGCGAGGCAGTGGACGGCAAGGGGCGAGGCGAGGACGGCGCGGCCGAGGCGAGGACGGCGAGGCGAGGACGGCAAGGGGCGAGGACGGCGACGCAGGGCAGCAGACGGCGGACGGCGGACGGCGGAGAGCGGGCACGCCGGATCGGGTAAAGGCAGCAGCAGCGCGGGCGGGGTCGGCCATGAGGTCATTGGCCACCGCGGGCCAATGCCGGAGCTGGACGCTGCGGGCTACACACTGGCCGGGCCGGGAGGGCGGGCAACCACGGTGAGGGCTCAAGGGCGGCGGGGCCGGGAGGAGGGGCCCAACATGGGGACGCCCATGGGGTGGCCCAACATGGGGGAGCGCGGGAGGGGGGGCCCCATGGGATGGCCATGCACACAGGCCATGGGAGGGCCCACACCACGGGGGGGGACCAGCCAGGGGGAGGGAGGCCACATGGGAGGGGGGGCATGCCACGGGAGGGACCAGCTGGGGGCGCCACGAGGAGGGGCAGCCATGTGGGAGGCGCGGCAGGGCCGGGAGGAGGAGGACGGATCCACCAAGACGGAGAGAGGGAGGAGGAGGGGGGGGGAGGGAGGGGGGATGCGGGATCGCTTGCCGTGCACGGGCGACGGCGTCGACGGCATGGGGCGGCCTGGTGGCGGCGGGATTTTGGGGAGGGAGGGCGGGCGAGCCCGGATAAGGCGACGTTTTTTTTTTTTATTATTTTTCCTTTTGCCGATCGCCAACATGTGACGATCGGCAAAGAAGGTCTATTATTTTTTTTCAAAAATTATTTTTTAATTTTTTTAAAAATACTTTGCCGATCGCTTCTGCCTCCCTGGCGGTCGGCAAAGGTTATTTTTGATTTTTTCTCGAAATTCTTTGCCGATTGCCATCCTCCCGGCGTTCGGCAAAGGTTTCTTACAATCGCCACCGATGGCGATCGGCAAAAAATTAATTTTTTTTTCGATTTTCGATCCCGGTTTTTTTGTGTTGCCTTTGCTCTGATAAGTACATGATATATTCCAAGTTTGGGGTCATTTTGATTTATTTTGCTATATTCCATTGATTTTTTCTGTTTCTTTAATTTTTTCCGGCAGCTCCAGATTTGAACTGCAGGTACATGAAATAATGGAATCCGGCGATTCAGAAAATGATATTCATGATGTTTGGAGCATGTTGAGGCCGTGTCTTGGGGCCTCGCGTGAAATTCGACCGTGTTGGTGTCGGAACACGCCGAGCCCGCTGCTGCGTGAAAATGATATCACATGTGGAGATGTCCAGGTTTTAGCCACCCGACGTCGCCACTTGCTCGAAACTTTCTCAAATTTTTACCACAGCCTCCGCGTGCGATGACAAGACATGTCGTCAAGTTTCGTCATTTTCGGACTACGTTTCGATTTTATAAAATTTAAAAACACTTTTCACGCGCGTGGCTCGGCGTGTTCCGACACCAACACGGTCGAAATTTCACGCGAGGCCCCGCACACGGCCTCAACATGCTCCAAACATCATGAATATCATTTTCTGAATCGCCGGATTCCATTATTTCATGTACCTGCAGTTCAAATCTGGAGCTGCCGGAAAAAATCAAAGAAACAGAAAAAATCAATGGAATATAGCAAAATAAATCAAAATGATCCCAAACTTGGAATATATCATGTACTTACTGTATCAAGGCAACACAAAAAACTGGGATCAAAAATCAAAAAAAATAAAAATTCTTTGCCGACTGCCAGGGAGGATGGCGATTAGCAAAGCTCGCGCCTTTGCCGGCTCACGGCGAGTGGCGATCGGCAAAAGGTGACGATGTGGATGGCGTCAACCATGGCTTGCCTTTTGCCGATCGCAATTCTTTGCCAACTGCTGGCGATCGGCAAAAGCGAGCGATCGGCAAATCTGATTTGCCGACTGCAGAAATTCCAGTTGGCAAAGGGACCTCTTTGCCGAGTGTCGAAAAAAAACAGTTGGTAAAGAAAATTGCAGTCGGCAAAGAGCCAGTTTCCTGTAGTGAGCGGCAATGACACCTGAACTAATAAGTCATATCCTCTCTACTACCAGATATAATATCTCAAATTCCACAAGGTTTGTTTACTAATAATGGCATACATAGGGTATTTACTGCCTACTAGTGCCAAGTGGAAGGCACTTACATATATATACTATTATATAACAGCTGCATCCTGTGTGCACGTAGCTGAGGCTCATCAACAGCAATCATGCAAGTTCTTCTATTGCTCTCGTTGGTTCTCCCGGTGGTCATCCTTATCGCCCGGCGCGCAACGCCGGCGAAGGCATGGCTGGCCAACCTCAAGTTGGTTCTAGCAAGCAAGCCACCAGCTATGTTCGTCACGGACTATGCCGCGGCGCATAACCTTCTCGTGCGGGGCAGCAGAGCCGTCGGCGGCGGCTCCTTCTCCAACCGCCCTCCATCCATGTCACCCAGCGCTGTCCTCTCGGGCCGCCTCTACCACAACATCATCTCGGCACCCTATGGCCAACTCTGGCGCGCCCTCCGCCACAACCTCACCTCGGGAGTCCTCCACCCGACGCACCTGCGTGGCTACGCGGCCGCGCGTCGCCATGCGCTACGTGGCCTCGTAGTGGACCTCAGGGAGCAGCAGCTCGCCGACGGCGTGGTGCTTGCCACGGAGAGCATCCGCAGCGCGGTGTTTGGCCTCGTCTCCACCATGTGCTTCGGCGAGGGCGTCGACGCGGCCGTGGTCCGTGCCATGGCTGATGTCCAGATGGAGCTCATCCTGTCCTTGCCTGCGGTACGCACGCTCGTGTCCGTGCCGTTCCTGGCGCTGTGTAGGTTAATCTACCGCAAGCGGTGGAACAAGTTGGTCGCGATACGACAGAAGCAGGAGGAGCTGTACCTCCCACTCATCGACGGCTGCCGCATCCATCCCCGGCACTCTGACGAGACGCCGACATACGTGCACACGCTCCTGGACCTTCATGTCCCGGTAGAATTCGAAGCAGATGACCAAATACCTGCTGCTCCTGGACCTGCTGGAGGCAAGCAACGGCAGCAACGGAGGCTCGAGGATGGCGAACTCGTGGGGCTCTGCTCGGAGTTTCTTGGTTCCGGAACTGAATCCCTATCCGTGGCGCTGCAGTGGATCATGGCGAACCTAATGAAGCGCGCAGACATGCAGGAGGCCATCTGGAGGGAGATCGACGCTGCTGTTGAGGCCGACACCGAGGAGGTCGGGGAGGAGGTTCTTGGGAAGTTGGACCACCTCAGCGCTGTCATCTTGGAGGCATTGCGTCTGCATCCCACCACCATGTGGGTATTTAGGCAGGTAAGCCAAGTACTTCGTCCTAAGAGCATCTTCAATAGTTTTGAAAAAATTTCATAAATCAATGAATTTTCCAAGTGAGCTAAAAGAAGTTATAACTTGTGAGCATATTTGTTGGCTTCCTTCAACTGTTTCCAAAATCTCACTTAAAAAGGAAAAAAAAAACAGTCCCATACATGTGAAGGTTTGTTGGTGGCAACTCGGTCTTCTTTGCGCGTAGATCACGCCCACCACCTGTAACCTTGCTGCGGCCGCCTCTAGCCGTGCCGCCTCTGACCACCCTCAAGCACACCTAGCCGACCACAGTCAGTCGATAGCATTCCCCTGCCAGAGCCACAACCCTCACAACCAGCCGACAGCAATCCCAAACTGGCCGCAACCGCTCCCAGCCGGCCATAGCTACCCACAAACAGCCATGGCCAGCCAGCAGAGCCAACCATGACTAGCCATAGCTAGCAGCAGCCACAGTGTTGGCCCACAGGATCATCGGCTCATGTTAGTGAACCACTTACCAGTCTTGCCAAGCACCCGCTAGTGCTGTCGAGCAGCCACTAGCCGTGCCGACCACGAACAGACGTTGTCCGACCACACACTATGGCCAGAGGTAGAAGAAGAGGGAGAACAGAGCATGCACGCACGATACAAGACATCAGCGTTGGCCGAAGCCCTGTCTATGAGATGGCAAATCTGAACTCTCTTTACTGAGTTGACGTGGTAGTCTATTTATACAACTCTATCCATCTAGTCCTAGTACAGATGCCCATGCTGTAACAGTAACTAGATAACATACAGGGCTGACTCTGCGCCGACCACTGCATGTGCCTACAGTGCTGCAGGTGAGCCATGCGGCGCCTGCACCTGCAGCGGCTACAGTATCACAGAAGGGGGCCAGTTCGGCGCCGCCTTCCCTTACTGTGTTCACACAAGTAAAGCAATAGTTTATTCTAACAATTCTTCCCATAAACCTACTGATATTCCTTGTACCCCCTCCATGCCGATCATCTCCTTCAGCTCCGTGAGTCGAAGTCGTCCGAGCGGTTTGGTGAGGACGTCCGCGAGTTGCCAACCAGTTTCGATGAACTCGATGACGATCTGCCCTCCATCGACACAGTCCCTGAGGAAGTGGAACTTTACGTCGATGTGTTTACTCCGGTCGTGCAGAACCGGATTCTTCGCGAGGGCGATGACGGGTTGGTTGTCCACCATCAGTGCTGGTGGCTGAGCTTGCACGCCGGTCAGCTCGTCCAGCAGCCAGCGTAGCCATATAACTTGGCACGCCGCTGTGGCCGCTGCTACGTATTCTGCCTCATACGTAGATAGCGCCACCACCTTCTGTTTCAGCGATAGCCATGAAATTGGGGCCGACCTGAGGAAGACGAGCACGCCAGAGGTGCTCCGTCGTCCGTCGATGTCCCCCGCCATGTCTGCATCGCTGAACACAGTGAGCTGCAGCCTACTCTCGCCGGATTTTGGGAAGATGATCCCATGATCCACTGTCCCCTTGACGTAGCGCAGTAGCCGCTTCACCGCAGCCCAATGATCCTCTCTGGAATCCTATATGAAGCAACTGACGTAGCCCACAGCGAACGCAATGTCCGGCCTCGTATGGACTAGGTAGCGCAGACCGTCGACGATGCTCCGGTAGAGTATTGCATCCACCTTCGCCGCGGTACTGACCTTCGTCGGCTTCAGCCGCTCCTCCATCGGAGTTACGCATGGCTTGCACTCTGCCATGCCGCTCCTCTCCAACAGCTTGGAGGCATACGCGCTCTGATCGAGCGTGAGTTCCTCCTTCCCCTGTCTCACCTCCATGCCGAGGTAGTAGGAGAGTGCGCCGAGATCGCTCATTCGAAAACGAGCCGCCATCTCACACTTGAAGCCATTGATATCCTCCGTGCGCGCGCCGGTGACGATCAAGTCATCCACATACACGCCGACGACCAGCTCCTCCTTCTTCCCCTGTCGCCACGTGTAGAGCGTGTGCTCGGTTGCGCACCGTTGAAACCCAAGCTCGCCCAGCGTGGCGTCAAGCTTGGCGTTCCATGCTCGTGGGGCCTGTCGCAGCCCGTAGAGCACCTTGCGCAGTCGGAGCACCCTGTGCTCCTCTCCCTTGATGGCGAAACCTGGAGGTTGCCTGCCGAAGACCGTCTCCTCTAGCTCACCGTTGAGGAAGGCCGATTTAACGTCCAAGTGATGGACACGCCAGTCCTTTGCTGCTACCAAAGCAAGTAGCAAACGGACCGACTCCATGCGCGCTACCGGCGCAAAGACCTCCTCGAAGTCGATGCCCTCGCGCTGTACAAAGCCTCGGGTGACGAGGCGCGCCTTGTGCTTGACAATGGCGCCGAGCTCATCCCGCTTGACTTTGTACACCCACTTCAGGCTGATCGGACGGCATTCTGGAGGTGGATCGACGAGCGGCCAAGTCTCGTTTTCCTTGATTGCCTTCATCTCCTCCAGCATCGCCCGTCGCCAGTTTCCATCGCGCTCGGCCAGCGCGAACGTGGGTGGTTCCTCTGCACTGATGAGTAGCAGCTCTGCATCGTTGAGCAGCCTGCCCGCCAGACCTGAGGGACCTATGACGCTGACGATGTCATCCAGCCTGCGGAATCGCACCTCCTCACCTTCGTGGAAGGCATCCACGAACTCAATGATGTCATCGGGAGGTGAGGCGAACTCGATCGGTGCTGATGGAGTTCCTTGTTCCGTCGGAGTGCTTGGCATAGCACTTTGAGTGCTCGGCACTACTTCTGGACAGCTCGTCATAACTCCTGTAGTGTTTGGCCACACTGTAGGAGTGTCCTGCCTCAGTCTTGGAGTGGTCGACACCACTGTAAGACATCTTGGCTGCGCCACGGGAGTGCTCGGCACCCGTCCTGGAGTGGTCGCCATCACTGCAGAACCTCCTGGCACCACTCCTGACGTGCTCGGCATCCCTCCAGGAGTGCACGACACTCCTCCCGGAGTGCTCGGCATCCCTCCCGAAGTGCTCGGCACTGCCCCAGGAGTGCTCGACTCTACCGCCGGAGTGCTCGGCACCTCTCCTGAAGTGCTTGGCACCTCTTCCTCAGCGTCTCCACTGCCGTTGATGACCAAGTGCTCGACGACAAAGTTGCTGGCGAAGCCTCCTGCTTCCCCCGAGCTCGGATTGTTCCAGTCCCAAGCTGCCTCCTCATTGAACAAGACGTCGCGCGAGACAAGGACCTTGTCTCTGCGAGGGTCATAGAGCCGGTACGCCTTGGTACCCTCCGCGTAGCCCAGGAACACCATCGGTGTGCTCCTATCCTCCAGCTTGGTGAGGTTCGGTTTCGTCTTCCTAACGTGGCCGATGCAACCGAATGTGCGGAGGAAGGACACGCTCGGCTTGCGCCCATACCAAGCCTCGAACGGCGTCTTGCCCGCCAGGGCCTTGGTCGGAGATCGGTTGAGGATGAAGACCGCCGTGGTCACTGCCTCACCCTAGAACCTTGCCGGCATGCCTTTGGCTTTCATCATGGATCGGGCCATGCCGACCACCGTCTGGTTCCTCCGCTCCACCACGCCATTCTATTGTGGCGAGTACGGCACGGTGTGGAGTTGCCCCACACCCTGATCCGCGCAGTACGTAGCGAACTCCACCGAAGTGAATTCACCACCGCAATCAGTCCTCAGTACGCGGAGCTTCTTGCCGCTCTCGGCCTCCGCGTGCATCTTGAACTTCTTGATCGCCGCCGCCGCTTCATCCTTGCTCGTCAGGAGTTGCAGCCACATGTAGCGACTGCAATCGTCCACGAGTAGGAGGAAGTACCACCGACCACCGCATGTAGCAGGCGTGATCGGCCCGCAGAGGTCGCCGTGGACGAGCTCAAGAGCTTCCTTTGCGCGATACTTGGCCGCCTTTGGGAAAGGTAGCCTCCTCTGCTTCCTGGCCAGGCAGCTGTCGCACAGCTCGCCTCCGTGCTTGATGTGGGGTAGCCCTCGGACCATCTTCCCTAGCCGACCAAGCGCGTCGAAGCTGAGATGTCCGAACCGGACATGCCACATCCACGGTTCCTCGGAGTGCCTTGCCGCCAGGCACACCGGCTGCTCTACCTTCAGGTCGAGCAGGTACAACCGGTTCAGGGACCTCTTCACCTTGGCAAGAAGTCGCTGCTCTCGGTCCCTGATCCTAAGGATTCTGTCCTTGATCAGTACCTCGCTACCGCGCTCATCCAGCTAACCAATGCTGATGATGCTGGAACGTAGCTGCGGGATGTAGTATACATCCGTTAGCGCGTGGTGCTCCCCGTTCTGGCATCTGAAGATAATGGTGCCGCGCCCTTGGATAGCCACCCTTGAGCCGTCACCAAACTTCACCGTGCTGGTAACATCGGCGTCGAGCTCGGAGAAGGATGCCTTGGAGCCCGTCATGTGGTTACTGGCACCAGAGTCCAGATACCACCGTTGCTCCTGGTCGGTGCCCACACGCCTGAGGTGGACTTGGGCGCGTGGTTCGTCGAGGTCGACGGTCTTCAGGGTCTTCCCAGGTCCTTCCACCGCCATCACCTCCACCTTCTCCTCGGCCTTGAAGTCGTGTAGTGCACAGAATGTCGCCATCAGGATAGTGGCCTCATCCTCATCACTGGCTTGCGCCAAATGAGCCTCAGCCTTCTTATCCTGCTTGCGGTTTGGGCATTCCCGTGCCCAATGGCCCATCTTTCCACAACGTCGGCAGGCGTTGGGGTCGACCTGCTTCTTCTCTGGAGAAGCCTTGCCGCGGTGCTTGCCATCGCCACCGCGGCTGGAGGAGGCTGCCTTCCCGGAGTTCCTCCGAGCAGCCCACTCCTTTTTCGTCAGCAGGAGTTTCCCGCTGTCCTTCGTTGCTGTCGCCTGCTCTAGGCGCTCGTCCACCACCTGTAGACAGCATGTCACATCCTCAATGGTGAGGGTGGATAAGTCCAGCATCATCTCTATGGAGAGAGCGATCTGGATGTACTTTACCGGCACGGAGTGGAGGTACTTGGAGACCGCCTCCTCTTCGTCGATGGTGACGTCGTGGCTCTTCAGCTTGCTGATGAGCGTCTACAGGCGGAGAGAGAAGTCCTCCACCATTTCACCATCCTTGAACTTGAGGTTTGCGTACTCCTGCTTCAGAAGCTGGGCCGTCGCCTTCTTTGCGCGGTCAGAACCGACGCGCATCGCCGCAATAGCCTCCCACGCCTCCTTAGCCGAGCTCTTTGTCCCCAACGGTTCTCTATACTCCACCGGTACAGCAGCGAGGATAGCCTCCAGCGCTGACATGTCATCTTCTTCACAGTCAGTGCCCTTGTCAACAGCATTCCAGAGCTGTCGGGCTCTGAGCTTGACCTTCATGGTCACCGACCACTCTCCATAGTTGGTGCGAGTCAGCGTCGGCCAACTGGTGCCGCTAACCTCCCTCATCGTTCGAACCGCCCATCATCGCCAGCGGTTAGTCTGGCGACGGCGCTTGTACGGCTCCGATACCACTTGTTGGCCCACAGGATCACCGGCTCATGCGAGTGAAACACTCACCAGTCTTGCCAAGCACCCGCTAGTGCTGCCGAGCAGCCACTAGCCGTGCCGACCACGAACAGACGTTGTCTGACCACACACTATGGCCAGAGGTAGAAGAAGATGAAGAACAGAGCATGCACGCACGATACAAGACACCAGCGTTGGCCGAAGCCCTGTCTGTGAGATGGCAAATCTGAACTCTCTTTACTGAGTTATTGTGGTAGTCTATTTATACAACTCTATCCATCTAGTCCTAGTACAGCTGCCCATGCTGTAACAGTAACTAGATAACATACAGGGCTGACTCTGCGCCGGCCACTGCATGTGCCTACAGTGCTGCAGGTGAGCCGTGCGGCGCCTGCACCTGCAGCGGCTACAGTATCACAGCAGGGGGTCAGTTTGGCGCCGCCTTCCTTTATTATGTTCACACAAGAAAAGCAGTAGTTTATTCTAACACACAGGTAGGGCCAGTCCAGCGGAGGTTGCAGCCAGCGAGTGGTGACTGGGGGTGGCCAGAGGCCTCTAGGCTTGTCTAGGTCATGCTAGTAAGAGGCTAGGGCGAAGAGGAGGGCCACAATGATTAATTTTACCTCTTTCCTATGGTGGTGGAGCTAGGCGGTGATTGGCTTTCAGGGGGTGGTGGCAACAGATGAGGCTGCAGCTTCATTCTTTCTTGGGCCCAAGAAGGAAGAAACGCTGGGAGAAGTTGCCCCCACGCATATCTTTCCACGCGTGTCTACATCGATTTTCCCAAGTGCAAAAACATGATCTGTGTAATATTTATGAGAAGTGAAGGTGGCTAAGGTAGAGCTGCTAATCGGGCCACGCCACGCCGGCACGTCATGCTGATACAACAGCTTAGGCGGCCCTAGAGTCAGGCCAGGCCGGCACAGGATCATGTCGTGCCTGGGGTGGGCCAAAACACCGAGCCATGGGCCATGGCAATGGTCCGAGGGCCTCATGGTCATCTATACGTGTTGTGAATCCACGATGGGTCCCATGGTTGCCTCATAGGAACTGTTCTTACCAAATACGAAGATCTAGACTTTGAGTAATAATTATTTTCTCTATACAAATCTCCTTGCTACCTTTATTTTTGCATTTATTCACTATATATAAATTGTTTTTTGGAGCTAATTTAAATTCAAGAAGAGTGAGAAACAGTTTTCACGACCAAATAATTACTTATACAAGATTATCTAACCAACCTCATGAATATGAAAAAAAAAAGGTGATGGAAGAAGACCAAGTGGTTCATGATGGCCAACATATTCCTGCGGGTACCAAGATGGTCTTCTCGTTGGAGGCTCTAGGGCGAGACAAGACAGTGTGGACTGACCCTGATGAGTTCAAGCCAGAACGATTTCAAGCATGTGGAGGTGGAGAAAGCGTTACCAAGAACCTGCTGTCCATGGCCGGGGACATGAAGATGATGCCTTTTGGGGCCGGCAGGAGGATGTGCCCTGCTATAAGCATGTCGTTACTCCACATCGGCTACTTCATCGCAAACCTTATGAGGGAGTTCGAGTGGAGGGAAGCAGAGGGTGAGCATGCCGTCCAACTCCACACGGATGCCAACGTCTTGCTGTTCAATTTCATGGAGCGTCCGCTACGTGCTCACCTTGTGCCTCGCCGGCCGGTGGTCAAAAAGGTTCGTTAACTATTGGATTGGATGGACAACCTGCTGGTCCAATTGGAGCAGGCAATCCATCGTGTTGTGTGTGTGGGAATTTGGTATTTTTATATCTCAACTAAACCGTGTTATCTATAATTGTTCTGAGACTAAAAGAAATTGTGCTTGTTCACTGGCATGATCCGCCCTTCTCCTACATCCATGTTGATTTGCAATATTATAATATGTCAAAAATAATATCAGTGTCAGATGCCCGTGGCGATTGTTATGTCTCCGCTGATCGCGGCAATTCCTTTTTTTATTTGATTTGTGGATGCGATTGTTTCTGATTGCCGGGTTTTTTATAATAAAAAATGGAAACTGTCAGGTAGCCTGTGATTGAGCCCTCTTGATTTTGGTTTCTATCTTCGATTTGTTGACACCTGTTTTTTTTTAAACAAAACGTGGGGCATATTGCTCCGATTACACCCATGAGCACGACTGTGATGCCACCCAACATTTGTATCTGTATGCTGTGCCGTACGAACGCGCCATATTGATGGAGAAAAAACACAGCCTCTACTTCTCATGCATGATTTATTTTCACGTGTACACAAAGTATATGTGTTTTTTTCTCTCTCTCTAGCTATGTTCTTTTTTGTATTAATGCAACCGAAATAAATCAAGTTACGCGATCAGGCAATTACAGGGGAAGGAAAAAAAGGAATGAAATTAAAGAAACAAAATAAATTTTCGTAACCTCCGCGCTGTGCTCGCTCGCATGATGGCCGATCTTGCCGCCGGCGCAACAAGCCTCCTGCTCACCTCGTCCGCTCCACATCTGTTTGGTCGCCGCGTCGGCCCGCGTCCGTTTGGCGCCGGTTGTCGTCAGTGCCGCCGGGGGAGGTGGCCGGTCGTCGCAGATGGAAGCCGCGGTGGGAGGTCCGTCACAGGGATCTCGCGCATGGCCGAAGATGGGCGAAGGATGTCGTGTGTGGTGGGTCCGTTGAAGCCTTGAAGTGTCTGTGTCAGTTGGATTGTGGTGAAGCCTCCCAAGAATAGATCTGGGCCGTTGGTTTCCACGTGGAGTGTTTTCTGGGTGCAAAATATTGTGTGGATGAAGAAAATGTCATCTCCGTTGAGGACAAAAACTTTGGTAGAACGAGAGAAATTAGAACTGGTCCTTTATTATAGGGATAATTATACAATTATATACATAACAAGGAAACAATTATATCAACTTACACAGAGCCAGAGGCCCATGAAATGAAATTTGTCTTCTGACCACAACCAGTCTTTGTTGCACGCAAACGTCCTAACAACCATGTTGAAGCAATCACAATCAATAGGTTTATTTGCATCTAAAACATCTATAAGTGTTATGGGACTTAAAGAAATTTGATATGGTCCGGTGGTTCGAACCCATTCTTTGCTAAAAAACAAGGATAAGGAATGGATTAGTTGACTGGCATCGTCTGCTACATAATTGTGGGAATCCAACATTCTCTCCGTTTCTTAGTTTTTTCTAAGTTTAACTTCTCTTCGACTTCTGTAACGTTGATAGAGTTTATAAAAAAAAAAGCACAAATCTACAACGAAACTAAACCATGAAATATATTCTGATGACACATCTATTTGATACTATAATTTTTTTTAAAAAAAAATCTACAAAAATAGTTAAAGTATATCATCCTTTATCAACCCAAGCCGGTGCTTTTGGCGTTATTAAACAAAAATAGTACATAAACATGAAGCATAATATAATCTTCTGATCCCAAGCTGGTGCTTTTTGTTTATGGTAGTATTTGATTGCTGAAAACTGCAGGAACTAACCTTAGTAAACCTTTATTATTAGGGAGTATCTCTACTAGACGGTCGGGTGTTTCAGGGACAAACGACATCCGAGTGTCAGACCCCCTAGAAACACTCGGTTGCATCAAACAAACAAATCGCGTGATAGATCCCAACAAACACTCGATTTCTGTAGCTACTCGTTCCAGATCTGACGATGCAAATAAAATATATCAAATAAATGCAAAAAACAAATAATAAAATAGCAAAAAAACCCAGATAATTACTATGAAGTGCAAATTGAAAGAAATTCAAAGAAAAAGCAAATAAAACATACAAGCAACAAATAAGAAATACAGAAAATAACCAGATTATTTCTGTGCCAAATTGGAAGATTTCAAAGAGGAACCAAATAAAACATACAAAAAATAAAAAAAAACAAAAATATCAAATAACTGTTCGAGTAATTCTGTTCATTCTTATTTACGAATAATCAATTTACATTAATTGAATGTAAAATTTATATCTAAACACAAATAGTAAAATATGGTCAAATAAGATGTAACATGCTCCACGAATCAATCAGCATACATGCATGGCATGGTAGAGAGAGCGAGGTGATGTGATGGTGGGACCACACCACAGCATGCTGCCTGCCTGCCGCATGCACCTGTCACGCGTCATGCCTCTCAACGCGGACAGCTGGGCCCACGCGGCTCCCTCACAGGTCACAGCTCCTCTCATGCGCGGACTCAGCAGGTGGTGGCCCCACGCGGCGTCCAACATGCACGCCCGGATCGAGTGAGCCTAGGCCTGTCTCCAACAACGAATCTAGACATCTAAATCTAAAATAGATAGTAAGAGATCTAAAATTAACTTTCAACATTGTATCTATACAGGAGACATATTTTGGGTTGCCCAAGAGACACAACCCAAATATGGGCATCATCTCTCCTGAAAACCTATTTGCAGAAAGAATTCTCTTTTGGGTCTTGTTGTCGGAGAAGATGCCGAATATATATTGAACATTTTACCTGTAGCGTTATCTAAAAGACAAATGCGTCTTTTATTTTAGGTGTTGTTGCTGGAGATAGCCTAAAATCACTAGAGCAACGTGTAGCTTTATCGTATTATTATATGATTTCAAATGCTCATCATTGCATGATGGCCTCTTCCTCTGACTTATTATTATCTGAAAATGTTATTTGGCACCAAAGGGGAATCCATATATAGGCATAATCTTAAAGTTCCATCATGGCAGACACAATTGATCGAGTCATTATTATGATCAACACACGAGTGGCAAAAGCTGTTAGGAATCCATCACTAAGCTGTACTCATGAACAAGAATATCAGTGATATATTATACATTAATTCCTCACACAAAAGCACGTGGGGTTTAGATTTATAAGAGTTATACATACCTCACACAAAAGCATGCCACTAACTCCACATTCTCATAATAGACCAGCCAAATCATCCAAATTACAAATCACAATTGCATCAATAAATTACCCAAATTATCTAAAGAAGAACAAAATAAGTTACATATATATAGCAAGCAATACTGTGTTTTATCTCTATCTCTACACTAAAAAATACCTAAGCCTATCGTCTTATCGCCCTGCCCGGCGTTAATTAACCCCTTAAAAAAGTTTGCACGGAACAAAAAAACGGAACCAGAACGGACTGCTTGCATTCAGGGAAAAAAAGAACAAAAAAGGGAACCAGAACGGACTGCTCGCATGCAGGGGAAAAAACCAGAAAAAAGTTTTCACGGAAAAAAAACAAGGAACCGCCCCTGCGCGCTGAATACTGCCCCCTTGCGTTCATACTGCCCAAATCTGAACCGGCCCCTGGACTCCGGACACTGTCCCCACTCGCCCGAACAGAAAACTACTCGTTCGAACCGAATCCCAAAAATAATTAAAAAAAACACAGCAGACTTATATAAAATATGTTCTACTATTTAAAATCTAATATATTAAGGATATTTTAATATGTCCCCACTCGCCCGAACGTATTTTGCATGGGCACCAAGCTGTGGTCACCAATCCAGAAGATTTATTAAGTCTAAGGCCCCGTTTGGCACGGCTCCACTTTACCCATGAAGCTTCTTTTTTGGGGCTTCAGCTCCATGAATAGCTCTATGGGTGGAGCTGTAACCGTTTTGATAAATCGTTTGACAAAACAGCTTCACATAGTTTTTCTTAAAATATGCTCTCAGAGAACGCCATGTAGAATGAGGTGAAGCCAAGAGAAGCCACTATTTTTGGCTCCTTCCCACCCCAAAGCTCTGTGAGAGCACGTTTTTAGGGGCTTCATCGGTAGAGCCGTTTTATTTTACCCCGTTTGGCAAAAAATGGCTCCAAGCGGCTCTAAAGCAGCTAGAGAAACCCTGTCAAACGGAGCCGCATCTACTTCTTTCAGCTGGCCTCCAACTTCTTACAACTGAAGCATTGAATTATCATGATATTATTTTTCCCTTACAGTTCACACAAAAATGTAAAATAGAATTGTCTGCGTGGCAATGCTTTGCCCTGCTCGCCCGCTTCTGCTAGTCAATCCAGTATGTGCAACATATGATTTCCCATCGGACTCTGCAGGTGGACCATGGCACACCAATCATGGAAATATACCGATCCGATCCTCGAGCACGAGAGCATAACCTTTAATGTTGCCCTCATCAAAGATCACGCGCCTGACATCTGTGCACAACCTCATTTTTTGCTGTCATGTACACCTGCAGCTGAGCCCAAGGTCTCCCCGAACGTATATAATGGTATATTTCAGAGTCCCGAAGAATTGTAATGGCTCATCTCAAAATAGGTGAATAGTAATGATAGTTCTCAAAATTTCGAAAATTGTAATGGTACCGATCAAAATAACCCAAACTTTTTCGTGTACGTTTTTTTCTTGACGAATATTTTCCCCGTACGTTGAAGTTGTGTTTTTTAAACATAGAATGAGATTTTAGGCTGTTTTTTTATCTATATAATTGTGGTGGTGGATATTTGAACGTTAAGGGATAGTTGGAGACTTGGAGTCTTTCAATTAAGGGACCATACGTTTTTTTTTGTGAAGAAAATGTTTCAGTCATGTTTAAGTTGTGTATGTAAACGTGAGTACAGAAAACTTTTTCATGTACATTTTTTTTCTTGAAGAATATTTTCCCCATACGTTGAAGTTGTTTTTGTACCTTACAATCAGATTGTGCAGAAAACTTTTTCCTGTACGTTTTTTTCTTGAAGAATATA